CACACACACACACACACACACACACACACACACAGCTTTTATTTAAACGCAGAACACTATCCCCAACTTTAAAGTGAAGGAACCACAACTATACAAAAGTAAAAAAAAAAAAAAAAAAAAAGAAAAAAAAAAAAAAAAAACAATGGCCAAATCCCCCATACGGGTGGATGAAAATTTCCTTATCTATCGTTCATACGATGAATAATGAAAGAACAGTTGATTTGAAAGTGAACTGATACACCGTTCCACTATATGTTTCGTCTAAATTGAGTCGCTTTTTAAATGTACGAATCGCTAATGAGTGGAATTGAATACAATAGACAGAACTACTTCCCGGATCCGTAGTTCATTAACCACTTTCATTTTCACTTGAAGTCCGTTGTATTTTTCAAGTTGTGTGCGTATTTTTAGATCTCTCTCCTTATTGCCTCACTCTCTCTCTCACTCTCACTATTATCTCTCTCTCTCTCTCATACATACACACACACACACACACACACACACACACACACATATATACATACATCCAATCACACACACAGGCCTCAGAATGATGAAAACGATGCTGAATTGTGTTTGAAATGGGAGACGCATATTCATGCACCTCAGGTTTCCTATGAATATCTTCCCTTCCGTTTTGAAAGACTGATCAGAGCCGTATATTGGGGAAAGTTTCCTCATATCTATTTTTTTTTTTTTTTTCATGCGATTGTGTATATCAATAAATAAAGGTGAAACAGGAACTACTTTTTTTCCCGAGTTATACAGTATAGCCCAAACACATTTAACAAACAAAAGCATGAGTGTCCTAATGGCATTTATTTATTTATTGCACAATAGTAGTTTCTCACTTGGTAGGAATCAAGAATACACATAATTTCTTATTTATCTTTTTTTCTCTCAAAGTCCTCCAGTCATTAGGTTTATTACATTTCACAATTAATCCCTTGAGGCAGATGATGCTAAATAGTCATCCATGCCACATGCCTTGACATTAATATGCCAAGAACGATAATACTTGCAGCATCAATCTTTCAAGCAATATCTATCGAATTGTACCTCTGTTAGCAGTGGTCAAGTGGTATAATTTTTACATACAATAACTGTTCCCTTGTTTATACATGCTAATCCATCACTAACTCTAAGCTAATTCACGTGGTTATTCATTCTATCCTTTACCTAAAAGTGATATAGTTTTTTTTTTAATTGCGAGAAAAAGTTTTGCTTTCGACGATTTTCCTGCAAGAAACAGCTGGAATTGATACGAAAATGTCTTACTTCTCTTGAAGAAAAGGGTTGTCTCTGTTTCTTAATTACTGTAGACAAACTGGCAAACCTCGTCAGCTTCGTTTTCATTTCACGACTTTAATGTTATCATTGCTACTGACTTCAATAAAGGAGACACTATTTCCCCAAATTCTGTTGCGAAAGCTCCGTTGCAGATATTGCAGCGCCATCTCTGTACCGACGGCGGTCAATGGATGTTTACTTAAATCATATGCCGTCTTTTCCGAAGGTTACGGAAAACGCGACACCTCTCACGCGATTGGCGGGAAACAGTTACCGATTTGCATTCTTCTTATCTTAATTATTTCCTTGCAAATTCATATTTACTTTAGCTATTTCTGTAACAGTACAACACACCACAAGATATCAAAAGCCATATTAGATATCAAATTCCAAAATACTGTATACCTGTCGAAAAAATAATGCATTACAGTAAAACAGCCAACCGTCAACCGCGGCCACTCCGATTACGTCACAGGAATGGGCGGAGCTTAGCGGCCTGTCTCGCCACCGATCACGTGACAGGTTTTGCCACCGGAAATGTTGCTTATAATTCGTACAATCCGAAGCCGGAATCGCCAGGAAATGTTGATATTAGTGTAATTACATCACAGGTGGAGTTAATGCTGTTTTTTTCTCCTGTAATCTTATCTCATTGAAAGATACATTGCGTCATTTTATTAATATATTACAGGTTGGATTCAGTTCGCTTCACTTTTGAAAGTAAGGATCATTTGAATAGACTTGCAAATTCACCAATATGAACTTAAAGAAATCGAAGAAGAATTAAAAATCAAAGGAAAACAAAAAATGAAAGATACTGAAGGAAAAATGAGAAATGAGAAAGAAACTGCCTCTTTACACCCGCTCATCACCACCGAAAAAACGTAGTGGGCTGCCGCTCTTTCTGCCTCTTTTAACCGCCCACACCCGCTCAGCATCACCGACACCCCCCCCCCACCCCGCCCACACACCTAAAAAGCCCCGAGAGGAAAAGCGAAATTTGGACCAGGGCGCGAGGATCCCGACGGAGGCACTGACGGAGGCGCTGCAGAAGGGAGTACCTGACGGAGGCGCTGGAGAAGGACGATGGCGACGCCCTGGACATTTTATTATAATGCGAGGAGAGATGGCCCAGTATTGCGAGCTGACGACACCCCGATGTCCCGCTCGATGGAGGTCGCCCTCGTAAGTTAGGCGCTTTTCAAGATGG